CCCTCATGTCTAGCTAGACGAGGTTAGTTTTCTAAATTGTAAGCATTCCCTTACGCCGGTGCACTTCAATCAGTGTGGCGGCTGGGTTCATCTCTTTGGGATTGATCACGTTTGGACACGTTGCCCGGAAGAATGGCCATCATCGGTGATGATGGGAAAAACGACATGGATTCTGTGTGGTGGTGGTGGGTTGTGATATCATTTTTGACATATGGCTATCGTCCATCCGAGATTTGAACCTAAGCAAAACCACCGCGACGAGATCCTTTTGATCACCACCCTCTAAGTGATATGTTTCCATCAAATTTATGAAATTCATCCTCCACGCATCTATCTTCTGGAAACATGCTTTCGTCTTGCTTTTATAGATAAAGCAACCATTGTACCCAGACAACAAGTTCAAGTGCAGCAAAGTACATAAAAAGTATGTCGAGGCAACGGCACAAACAAGCCCAGATAAAAAATAAAAGAGGCCACCAAGTGGCCAGAAAGGTCAGGTTGTCTGGGTGAGGCAAGTCGGCCCTCTGCTACAATTGTTGCGTTCATTGTGTTGCCAAGTCGGTCACGGTACCGCTGTCTAGATAGCGGATGCCAATGCTTGAAAAAAGGCAAGAAATTTGAATATGGAGTCAAATGCCCGTCGCAGAAAACACATTCAATAACCATCATGTTGTATGTTGTCCACAGGGTCCAAGCCAACCTTTGAGTGGTGTTGGTACCACTGACAACCGTCAGTTATGACCAATCAAGAATTCCCTTACGCTCGTTAGCATGAACAACATGCAACGCAAGTAAAATCCCAAAGTCGAAGTAGAAATTCAATGCTTTATGCAAGGCTTACAAACCTGTAACCCGTGTGCAAGCAAAAAAGAAAAGGAACTCAACTCAACTTACTCTTTATTGAGAGAAATCACAAGCTTTCATCGTTCCATATAACTTACGAAGCATACGAAGGAGCAAAGAAGTCCACCCCGAATTTTCATCCTAAAATAAGTGTCTCAATTTTATACTAACTTTACAAGACATTTATTTTAGGATGGAGGAAGTACTACCCGGCTCCACGAGGAAGAAGAGCAGACAACGAGACGGCAGGTCCGGCCGCCCATCCAGCATCGCCGTGCACCGCAGCAGCATAGACCTTGTCTGCCTTGTAGTATCCTTCTCCTCCAGCGTCAGCCGCACTGCCAATGCACGCGCTCCTGCCGCCGACGGAGGCCGTCAAGATGCTCGTAGAGGCGGTCGGGCATCCCCAGCCCCTCGCCCGTGGCCATGAAGGGCACGTCCACGACGCTCCTCGCCGGGACGCATAGCTCGCCGAGATCGGCGCTGGCGAGGGGCACGCCGTCGTACTCCACCACCGCGCCCGCCGGCTCGAAGCAGTGCTGCCACACGTTGCCGTTCTTGACGCGCAGGTCGACGTGGAAGGTGGGCGGCGCGCCGGCGCGCCGGTCGAGGCCATCGAAGCTGGAGACGGTCGCGGAGAACTCGGGCGGGGTGGACTCGAGCGTGATGGCGAGGACGGTCATGAGGGTCGCAGCGAGCACAACGGATCCGAGCAGCACCGCCGCGAGCACAGGATGGCTCTGTCCGACACTTTGACGTTCATCCATGGATGGATGCTAGCTCCGAGCTGACCAGGCCGCCGAGCAATAGTTGGGGCCGAGGTTTGGAACTACTAGTAGATGGACGCAGCCGTTTAACTTCCAGAAAATACGTGAGGATCTCGGTCCCTACACGTGAGGAAGTTCGGTTCAGATCCAGATATATCCTGTCGTTGCCCAAACGAACTGCCTCGGGACTCCTGGCCGATATATATTCGTGAATCGTGATGCAGGAGTTGGGCTCTCAATCGTATAGACTAGAAAAAGATTCAGGACAACCAAGATCGAAGCATGGACTTCGACCTGGAGCAGGCCGCCTACCATGCCATCCCTTTCGACCCGCGCGGCGACGACGACGACGAGGCGCCGGTGCTGGGCAACGCGCCGGCGGCGAGGTTCAGCGACAAACAAAGGCTCTCGTTGCTTGTGGTATTTTCGGTTGCACTGGTGGCGCTCATGCTTTTCCCCATGTACTACATGGAGCAGGCCAACGTCGTGTCTTTCTCCGTCGGCCTCGCCGGCTACGAGGGCATCGACCCGGCCAGGCCCGGCCACGTGGTCTCGCCGGCGTTCAACCTCACGCTGCGCATGAACAAGACGTGCGCCGACCGCGCCGAGGTGGTCCTGACCTACTCCGGCGTCGCGCTCGGCTGGGCGCGCGTGGAGCCGCGCGGCTGCGTCTCCCGGGAGCCCTGGGGAAGGGGCGTGAAGGTGGTGGCCAAAGCCGACGGCGTGGGGCTCTCAACGCCTCTCCGGGAGCGCATGGCGTCGGAGTGGCGCCGCTCGGGGCGGGTGGAGCTCGATGTCGACGTGGCGGTCTACTGGGAGACCGGAGAAGGCCGGCGGTGGGGCTACCTCGGCGGCAACACCCGCGACAAGGTGATGCGCTGCAAGGTGGCGGCCGACAGACATCCGTCGGAGTCGCCACCTTGCCCATGGTATTCTCTACGGCCTCATAGTTATGACAGATTCAGCGGTAAATCGTAGACCATCTTTGGGTTTAAGGATTTTCCGATGAATTTTCAAGGAATCAAGTTCTGTATGAAATTTCGTAGGAAATTTATGTGCAATGATTCAATTTGAAGCTGAATGTACTGCTGTAATTCATTATCCAACAGGACTTGCATGTTCTTAAAATCTTACTAGTACTACTTTGTCCTCATCACTAGATTAAAAACAAGGGTCTGTCTAGGACACGTCTAAGCTGATGTCCACTCTGTTTGAGGTCTATTTTTTTGTCCTAGTTTTTTTTTTGTTTTTTGTTACTGCATCATAGTATATTTGTCGGAGTTTAGATGCAACATCCTTAAAAAACATCTAGATGTGAATTAGACAAAGCGTAAAAAAAACAAATACAAGACGTGAACCAAAGATAATTTGATGAATCAACAAATCTACCGACCGATGACCTAGGTTAGCATAACGCCATCTGCAGGGAACAATGTCCATGTGGACCAAGGATCCCTAGCAAGGGGATTGATTGATCATGCTACTGCTACAAAAGAGCAGATTAGCGGTGAAATACACCTATGCCCAAGCCAGCATCATTGACAGTAGCAAACTCAACGCAGCCCATAACGTAATTTCCTTCTTATCTCCGCGACTTCTGGCGCTCGAGAACCTGAAACGGCAAACAACACGAAAGATATCAGATTTCAGAAAGTAGTTCAAACTAGGCCTGTAGCATTGTTTCAGTAGTGTGAGTGATGAAGTTATTTACCCTGGCTGTGATGGATTTACTGCCAAACCGAAGCCGAAAGGGAAGAGCGGATCATAGTGTGGGTCTCCAAAATTCATGGGCAGCTGGTCTACAGACTTGAACCAAGTGCGCGAAAGCTTTCCGGTGAAGCCGTAATCCCCAAATAGCACATCAGCAACACCCTGCCCTTCTGTGCCAGGAAGCCAGGCGGCAACAAGCGCTTCCATCAGAGGAAGATATGGTTCAATAATGACAGGCCGTCCAGAGACGACAACCACTGCGCATTTAACTGCCGAACAGACGGTTCGGATTGTGTCTGGGCCAGGGTCTAGGATAGTCAGATCAGTGTTATCGCCTACTGTTTCCGCATATGGTGACTCGCCAACAACAACAATAGCAAATGAGAAGTCGTTTTTCTTCATGAAGCTGTCATCAGGGTTCTCAGAGTAGACTACAGGTGTTGCATCACCAACGGTGGACTTTATGGCATCAAGGATTGTTGTTCCTGAAAAGAATATTGAATCATGACCGTCAAAATTATATATAAACGTCGGTTTAAATATTCCGGAGGGATACTTCAAAAGTTACAATTCAAATTCACTAAGCAACAATCTGTTCCAACCAGGGTATAGTTTTGGCATGCAGTAATCTAAAATATTGAAATTCTGTCTTTAATAAACTCAAAGACCAGAGCAACCAAAGGCATATTAGAAAGCACGTACCAGCTGTAATATCTCCACTTCCCCCCATCCATTGAATTGACCATCCACCACACTGGTAGCCTAAATTGCTAGCATGACTTCCAGCTACGAGGATCTTACTAGCTTTCTTTGGGAGAGGCAGGAATTGTTGATTAGGAGTGTTGCCATTTTTTAATAGAACAAGTGATTTCCTGACAGCTTCTCTAGCCAATTCCCTGTGCTCCTGTTAAATTTAATTACTCGGTTACTTAGTTCTAGGTATATTTCCACACTTTTTTCATACAAGTATTAAAAAACACGTTGTAGATCATGAACCTTCTTTCCAAGCTGATCTGCAAAGCTAAGATCAGCTAAAGGGTTCTCGAAGAGGCCCATTGTAAATTTCACTCGAAGGATGCGACTCACAGCATCATCAATTCTGCTCATACTGATGATACGCTTGTTAACAAGAGATGTTGCATCCTCAATGAACTCGGTGTAATTGAAAGGGACCATAACCTGGAATGGAGTTGAAAGAAGGTTACTGCAGGGCCAACGTTTGTCTAGATTATTTCGATTAAAATCTGAGTCATTGCTGCTCAGTAGGTACTAACCGCTTCATGTTGCAGTACCACAATACAGATAGTACCTCTAAGCAGCTGATATTACGCGGTTAAGGTTGGCAATCAACGTTGAGTACAAAGAATGAGGCTTCATTTAGGTGATCTTGGGTTGTGATCTTAGATGCAAGAAATAGAGTCCAAACTAATTATGCGAACAAATTCAGATCAAAAGTAGAGGGGTATGTTATGGGCACTTCTCCGTCTGGAACCAGATACTTTTTGAACAACAAACAAGTAAACATATTTTCTGTAGCTAGCAAAATAATAATAATAATAATAATAAGCAAGTGTGTTCTCAAAAAAACATACCATATCAATACCAGCATTTATTCCAGCTTGCACAGAGTAAGTATAGTTTGCACCAGCTGGTGAGGTTATCCGGTCTATTCCTAGCCAATCAGATATCACAAAACCCTGCAATCAGTCACCATTCTGGAGTCAGTTTACGACAACAGCAGAGGAGTGTTAAATACATTGCAGACTAGCACTAACTCTGAAGTGCAGTTTGGATTTCAAGTAGCCAGTGACTAGATCATGATTGGCATGCATTTTTTCACCATTAACGCTTGAATATGAAACCATAACAGTAGCGACACCCTTGATAATGGAGTCATAATATGGTGGCATGTGAATGCCTAGCAGTCCGTGCTCATCAATGATCGTGTTGTTCTCATTGATTCCATTATGCGTTCCACCATCACCAACGAAGTGTTTAGCACAAGCAGCAACTTTATTCCTGTTAGAATCCATAAGCTGATACATAAGATAGAAAGCATTCAAGCTGCAAGACATCGATAATGATTGTATCCCTAAACTGTTCTCGAACAATGTAGTAGATATTTCACTAAGCAGGAAATGCTGCTTGCCATAAAAAGTTGAATTACTAACAGACTGTCCATCTAGGCAGATTACCTGTCAGTTCAAAGTACAGTTTCATGCATCAAATGCAGATGCCTACAGATTGGCTTACATCTATCTACCATATACATTAACACTGAGAAAATAATATCTTACTTGGCAACATAAGGAACTCCTTTGGTATGATTCACTGGGATCTCTCCTTGCAGACCAAGGATAATATCTGTCATCTGCTGAACAATCTTATGGTCTTCACTGTAGCTCTCATAGCATCGACCCCATCTTGGATCTCTGCAAACCTATATATACAAGAAGCATTTCCAATCAACATAACTTTTTAGTAAACCAGGAGTACACTCATAACTCTTCCATTGCAGATGTAACACCTAATAAAGCAAGACAACACCGCATTGTGCTTACTGCAATGCATGGAGCAAAGGTATATGGGATTCCTGTTGCGCGTACTTCAAGAGCAGTTGCTTCACCAATCCTCTTTACTAGGTCAGGATCCCTAATAAACAAAATATATAAAGAGATAAAATAGTTATACAATTCCGTTCCAAGATATAGCTACCCATATTTTTTTACCATCTCTGGGTGTTTTGCTACTTGCCACATGGAGATGAAATGCTCATTGAACATTTTAGCGAATTTAATTGCAAGGGAAGCAGCCAAGCACTATCATTTTATTTTCAACAAAACGGCCATTTAGGAAGCTTGTTGTTTCACACACAGCCATGCGTTTACATTAAATAAAATGTATATTGTTAGAGAGTTGCCTTGTAGCTCCAAGCCCAACGTTGTGAGGGAATATGGTGGCGTTGTAGACGTTGTTATTACCATGAACAGCATCAATCCCATAAATCATAGGAATTCCCAGGCGTGTTGCCAAGGCACCTTTCTGGAATTCATTTACCATGTTGACCCACATTGCAGGTGTGGCCTGAGGAGCAGGGACACTCCCACCACCACTTAAGATGCTACCTAGAGAACATAATAAAATTTCAGGATTAGAAGTTGAATTGCCTCATTGAAGGATGAAGAAAAGGTTGCATAATCACAGCTTGGACATGGCAATGCCACAATGGTGACTCTAGCTATGTGGTGTTAGAGCTTTGTGCTATCAACCTCCGAACAAGAATAACTACTCCGGATGCAGGATAGCAAACATGTGTGAGCTACCGAACAACATCCTCGCACTAAGCCTTTACTGCAGGAAGCTAGGAGCTGTCACAGAACATACCTATGAAGTAATTTTTCATGACGTCTGCAGATGCAACCGAACGCTCAATCTGCGTCATCTGGCCAATTTTTTCAGCAAGAGTCATTCTACCAATAAGGTCCTTGATCCTAGTGTTGACAGGCTGCTTTGGATCCTTGTACTTCATGTACTCTGCATCTCCCGTCCAAGCAAAACAGAGCAGTAGAAGAAGGCATCCCCAAGAAACGTTGGGGCATGCCATCTCAGAAAATCTTCAAGTGTCTCCTCAGCGTGGTCAACCTGACTGCCCTGAAGAAAATACCTGAGTATGAGTAATAGTAGCAGTTATTTTTTGTTTTTCTTTTTTTGCGGAAATAGTAATAGTAGTAGTTCATACAGGGCATTTAAAATGTACAGAGGAGTTTGGACATTGCGTGGTAAGAATTAGTAAATTGTTCATTGTCAGCAAGGAAAGAAGAGCTAGATTGATGGCATCTTAAAAAATTGATGACGATTCACAACATTGTCAGCCGTGTGCTAAAAAAAGAACAACTAAACTAGACTAGGTCAATGGTCCATTGACTCGAAGGAAAAAAAAACATCAGTGTCGAACACATTCATTCCCTTGGGTCTTTTAATACAAGAGAATGCCCCCGTAAAGTAGCCACCACGGATGAATCCGAATTCGCGCCAAGCACTACTACAACTAATCTACAACGATAGCAGCAGCAGCTGGGGGCGGCGGTTAAACAGAAAGCCAGGTGAAATAGCAGAGTGACCAAGGTTGGGGGTTTCACCTCAGCGCGGATAAGCGGGGGAGGACGGGCCGGGGATTGATTCGCTTGGCGTGTGCTTCCCGTTGCAAGCCGAGCTCACTCGCCTTCCACGGACGAGGCCGAGCGAGCTGGGGGGCGGTGAAGGAGAGAGGAGAGCGGCGGCGACTGCTCGCCGCTGCGAATGGAGGTGTATCTGGGCTGGGGGCGAGCGGCGTGGGCTTGGGATTGGGATGCCGGAGCCCGGAGTACACACGGCGGTCGCTAGGCAGGCAGCCGGGCACTAATGACCAGACCAGGGGTGGTAATGGTCAGTGGCACACTGATGGGTAAATGACAGGGTGGGATGGGGTCGCTGGTCGCCCCGAGGACCGTCCCGCTCCCCCACGTACGGGGGTCGTCGCTTTGGACGGTTTCACTGCTGCCCTTCCTTCTTTTCCTTTTTCTTTCTCTTTTACTCTTTTTTCTTCTTTTTACAGTGAGACTCTCATCATCGTTTGCTTTGCTATGCTCCTCGGCCCGCTTTCCCCCCTCTTTTACTTTTTTTTTCTTTCCTGAAAGCGCCTCTCGCCACGAAATTACAGTCCCCTCGCTGAGCCGCCGCACGTATTATTTGCACCGACAAAAGCTGTGAGATCTGTGTTTTCATGTTAAACTAGATGAATGGTATGGATTTGAATGTATTTTTAAATTTTTGTAAGGATGCTACTGTAAGGGTCTGTGCTACTTAGGGTGGGTTTTTGTTAGAGGGCACTATACGCAGGGGCGGCGCTAGGGGTATTCTTGGATCTTCATGTGAATACTCATGATTTTTACAAAGCAATGTTGATTTTGATAAAAGAGTGACAATTTTAGAAAAACAACAATGATTTTGGCAAAATGAATACACATGAATACCCGATTGCAAATTCCTGAAGCCACCACTGACTATACGGGTTGGTTTCATTGCTAGCATCTCATTCTAATATTTGGTTGGTGTGGAACCGGAATCTAGTCATCCTCAAGTAAGAAATATACTCTTAGTATAAGAAATATACTCTTAGTATGCTTCACCGAGTCATACCATGAAATTTGTAAAATCACTTCTTTTTTAGATAATTTGTGAAATCACCTGGTTATTCATCTTTTTGTTGCTTAAAAAAAACCGTTGTCACATGAAAAAGATGAGTGGACTCAGATTCTTCTCATTCCACCTCTTCAACCAAACATATGCACGAAATAAACCCATGCCATTTTTTTTATCTCCAAACAAAAGAATGGAACCAACCCATACCTCATGAGTAAAACCTTGACATTCCATGCATTTTGGTCCTCAAACTAAACACACCTACAGCAACTCCAATAGCTCCTATAAAATCATCTTGTAAAAGTCGTTTTACGGGATGACATATAATTTAGGGGAAGTTTTCCAACACCTATTTTTCTCAGTTCCCATAAAAACCTTTCCCCTTTTCCTATTTCCCATTAAACGACGTTGGGGCCTGCAAGTCAGTGACACGACGCTTGGCCCGCAAGTAAGTGTGATGGCATGGCAATGACGACCGCAACAGTGAGGTGGTGTGACCTAGAGGTCGTCCTTGCGGCGGTGCAGCCTCGGGGGGCAGTGAGAGGAGGCCGAACCTGGCGGTCGTCCTTCCAGAGGCGCGGCCTCGCAGGGCAGGGGAGAGGAGGCGGAGCGGCGCCAATGGCGCAACCTGGCAGCGGGAGCCCATGTGGTCGCATAACTTTGCGGCAGCCTCACGACAGCATGTCCTTGCGGGGCAGGGGAGGAGACGGAGCAGCGACGGCGGTGGTGCGATCTCGCTACGGCGCGGGGCAAGGGAGGAGGCAGGGTTCACGACGGCAGCGGCCCGGCGCGGTGCAAGGGTCGCTTCTCTTGAAGTTCCAGGTGGTTATCCACCCATCAAAATTATATGGGAAGGCCATCTTCCCATAAACGCAAGGAGCGAGGAAGGTGAATATACGGGATCCCGCAAAGTAGATCGAGTTTACGAGAGCCATTGGAAGCCTTTTTCTTGCCCTAACTTCCCGTAAAGGGTAGTTTTTTGGGGGATGTGGGAGCTATTAGAGATGCTCTTAGAGCATATCCAATCGGATCCCCACTCCTCCGCCAAGACCAAAAACAACCACCCAACCGATTCCTGTAAAGTCCTAAACCCATCTCAAATGACCCGGTTGTACAACACTCCTCAGACCCAGCCTATATGTGGGGTTGATTTGGGTTGTGGGACACGTTTGCCCCATCGGATTCGACAACCCAGACCCACTCCAAATCCCTTCACATCGTTCCCAAGCCCCGCGACCTGCCCATGGCACTTCTTTCCTTGTTTGCATCATCCCTTTCCTAGCTCCGCCACCACCGACCACCATCGGCTCCTATCCGTGGACATTTAGGGGGGGGTCATATTTGCCTAGTAGGGTTGGAAATGCTCTTAATGTATGGCATTTGTCAAAAACATTGATAATTACTTATGCATTGCAAGCGGAAGATAAATATTTTTTAGGTTAGTCATGATTTACTTGCCCATATTAGTGTGATTGTGTACAAGAATAAGATTTTACTTGAGAAACCCTTAGTTGGTAAGCATTTACTGATTTACTGTCGGTGCTTATTCCAGCAAATCCCTCGGCCAGGTATCCTAGTGTAGCGCTTAGGTCGGAGGGAAACGGGAGACGGATTTAACCAGGTTCAGACTCTCCTTACGAGGTAAATCCCCACCCCCGCTCGTGTATATTGTGATTGAAGTGTACAAAGTACAGGTATACCGAGAGATTCTAATGTGTTTTGTCGACTAGCTTGGCCCCGACTTATATCTACTATATCACTAAGCTCCCTAGGGGCAAAAGGTCTCACGATCAATTGAGGTGTCCAATTGGAATAGGGTCATCCAATTTTGACCAAGTCAACAATTTCTCGAAGCTCTCATTCAATTCTTTTATACTATACACTATGCTTCCTAATTTTGAAGTCCTCATAGTTTATTGAGGTCTTCACTTTAGAACGTGGTCGCCTGATTTTGACCGGATCAATAGTTTCTCAAGGATCTCTCTCATTTAATTATTTTAATCCACCATACTCCCTAATTTTGAAGCTCTTTTATTCGATTGAAATATTCAAATTTGAATTTGGTTTACGATTTTGATCGGGCTAACGATTTTTCAAATGAATCAACACCAACCGGCTAGAAAAACATATCAACCCCGTGCACCATCTTACCACCTAAAAAAAAGAAACCCCACTATGTGATGATACTATAACACCAATATAGTATATGTAGCCACCGACATAGAAATTTACCCACAAAAGTATGAGTTGATTAGTGCATAACACAAAATAACACCATGAAAGGCCCTCAAAATAATCGCATTATGAATAAATATAAAACACATTCCATCGTATCCCCCATCTGCCAAACTAAATATTCCATCAGTTTCAAAATACAAGGGGTATTAGTTCTTTGGGAAGTCAAATTTCTTTAACTTTGACCAAGTTTAGAGCCAAAAATATCAACATCCACAATATTAAGCCAAAAAATTATGGAAATTCATTTCATGATGAATCTAATAACACCAATTTGATATTACGAACTTCGATATATTTCTTCATTAATTTGATCACACTTAAAGAGGTTGGACTTTTCAAAAAAGTAACACACCTTATATTTTAAAACAAAATGAGTATTTTTAAAAAAATCTCAACAACACCAACGGCGCAGCAAAGCGCGCCCAACCCTTCTAATAAGATATCATGGCCCCTAGGGTTACAAGAGTCCTAGTCGGATGTGTCGGTGGAGGGGAGTCCTCCACGGATCCGGCCTCCTTGTCTTGAATGGCAAGGCTTCCCGAATCTTCCTTATGTAGGACCCATGGCCCGACTTGATGGCCCATGGCGAAAAACAACCTAGGGGGCCTCAGGCTAGTCCACTTGGGGCGGTAACAAGAGAGGTGAGGCACCCCTGGGCCATAACACCATTAGTTTTTGATGAAGGGTGTTTCTTATTGATTCACAATGAAGCATCAAGGGGATACAAACATAATGAACACACCCAGCCTCTGCATAACTAATATGAACACAGCCAAGCCATAACACCATCAGCAACCTCTGAATTGGACTTCAAGCTTGGCAGCATCCTGATCGACATAGATCTGCAACACCACTCTTCTCGATTTTTTAGGTTGAAACTGCTTCTTTGAACCTTAACAGTGAATGCTCGTTGTCGACCCCTCTTTGCCGACCTGCTCTCGAAGTCGGATGAACCACTCCGATCTTGAATCGTTGATGAATATGGCCGGCCCCGCGGAAAAGTTTTCCTGCCAAGTACCATAGACTTTTTCCTGCAACCTCAGTCGAGTAGCCGTCGAGCTGCAGACCAATCCAGAAAAACGAGACCCGGCGAAACCTGAGCGTTCTCAGCGATTTGGCACATCCGGCCGTCCATTTCATTTGCTTGATGGGATTCCGGCCGCCGGATCAAGCTGTGGGATGACC